TAATTCTGTTCTTTACCCTGTCCTCATTAGTCACTAGAGACGGTCCCCTGAAGGCCTGCTACCAAGCTCCTATTTCACAGATGTGTTTTCTTAGTGTCCTCCGATGAATTTACACAATTCTCCAGCAATCCAAACTTCTCCCTCTTTCTTATGCCAAAATTGTTGCCAAAGTAATTACAAAATCAGGGATTGCTTAAAAAGGTTACTGAGTGGCAGACACGGCTTTCATCACATTATTTACAATGCTGAAGCACTTAAATTGAGGAAATAAATAATTAAGAACTTTGTGTCATATACTGCGTATGTGATGCACTTAGTACAGAAGAATATCAGCTCATACCTTTTTGTAACCCATGGCTAGTACAGTTCATGTGGTATTTTTATTTTAGCATCTAACTTGCATTGAGGGACTTTTAAATGAGAAATACTAAGACTAATTTTTTTTTTCCAAAGAATTTGCTGTTGTTGTTTCTTGTCAAGAGTTACATACTTGTAAATATAGTTTAACAGAGAGACAACATAATTTTTTTTACTATAAAAAGCAGATTTAAATTATAGTTGTGATTGGTATTTATATATCATTGTCAGGTTTCTTTTTCAATAGAACTGTCTGAAATGTATCTGTACACTTACTGGAGAAAATAGTGTTTGTTTAGGATCAGAACTGGTATTTTTGTAATGACTTTAATTTTTCTTTTAATTGTCTATCAGACTGATTCCTGCTATACAGAAATATTTTTCTTGGAGTTTTCTAAAGATGCTGTCAAGCAAATCAGCTATATTTTGTCTTTACGAAGATACATTGCTTTAAATAGGGTAATCTGGCTTGTAATACTTGTATATGTGTGTGTCTGTAGTCTGTGTTCTTAATGGTTTTGAATAAGACAGATATTAAAACTTCAAACATTATGATGGGACAGGTTTTCAAGCTTCCAGATGTAAGGAGACAGTTGTTACTAGCTCCCCAACAAGTGCCTTTGCACGCTGAGCATGCTGCAAGGCAGACTGACTCGTAGTAGCTGGAGCTACCATCCCTGCATAGGTCTGCCAGAGGACACTGTGCAAGGACTCCTTACTCAGCTTCAGGTGAGTTTACTGGATGGGTTCAGCCCCACCTTCAGGAGCAAGTTAAAGGGAAGGGGCATATTCATGATTGGTTTAAGACAGCTTCGCCATTGCTCTAAAGGATCGTCGCACCCTCCTTGCCATGCAGTCTGCATGCTTTTGGTACCTTGTGGCTGCGTAATTAGTGTTAACCCTTCAGAAAAACAAGGAAAACCCCTAGCTTTCAGTCACACCAGTGAATTGGCCATATGGTGAATCAGATTAACAGGTGCTAGTTTCAGTGCAGGGAGAGGGCAGGGCTATGCAGCTGGAATGGCAAGTCTTTGGATTACAGTATGGGCTTAGTTTGTCTTAAGCAAGTCATTAAACCATGCTCTTATCTGACTGACTTTCCCTGAAACAAAGAGTGAGCACTCGCCTGGCTCCCTCTACCAGCAGAAGTGATGGGAACAGTGACTAACAGGTGAGTCGGTTTATATTTTCACAAAATAGTACCTGCTTAGGGGTCTAATACATCCTGTAGTCACAGCAATGAAAGCAAAGGCACAACAAACTGAAGATTGTGTGAAAAAACTAAAAGATTCAGAGTCCTGACACAAAGGGGAGTGACAAGTAGGGGAGCACCAACTTCAAATGCCTGGGGGAAGGAGCCTACCTGGAGGATGTGGGAGGAAGACTGCTGCTTGCACTCCAGAGGTCACACCTGTGGTCTGTGCTGTGCCCAGCAGGACTCTCGGGGCTTCAGCAACTTTGTACATTCAGTCCTGTGAACACAGACATAAATGCTTGAGTTAAAAATGTGTGCGGTGCTGTGAGATTTTTCTGGTAACAATTTGAGGTTGCCCTGTCGCTACTGAAAGGCTGTGGAAATTGGGGAGGACCGTGGAAAGGCAAATATCCTACTTGTCTTCAGAAAGGGCAAGAAACCCTGGAAACTGGAAAATTAGGCTTGTCAGACTCATTTTGGTCCCTGGGAAAAACATGGAGCAGTTCTTCAAGTTTTGACCCTGCTTTGAGCAGGCTTTGTCAGCTCGCAAAATCTGTCCCAACCTCAGTGATTCTGTGGAATGCACAGAGGTTTTCAAACTCCAGTGTACGGCACAAAGCCCAGGACTGGCTTGCTCAGTCGCTCTGCAGGTAACTCACCTCTGTTTATGCAATGTGAAAAGTGTAAGCTAAAACAGTTTTTTTTAAACAAATTTTAAAAGTTTGGAATTCTCCTGTGTAATTTTTCTCCCAAGAGTTGGGTAATCATCACTAGCCTTGTTCTGCACTTGACCTAATCAGGTATTGAGTTTTACGACTACGTAACAGACACAGAGGTCTAGTAGAGACTTGAGTACAGAGAACTTCATACATAAACCTGCCATGAACTTCGTTGTCTCTAGCAATTGTCTGTTGACTGCTCTAAATCATTATTAATGGAATAGATAATTGTTGCTTTGTGGTTTTCTGAGTCCATTACAGTCCCTTCCCCTTCTCTGAGAAAATTCTTACCAGGACTGCAAAGTACTTTTTCATTGGATTGATTCCTTTTAAGGTGTACATGTATCACTTAGGATCCAAGTGCTTGGTTAGCACAGGAAAGGGGTCTGATCAGTACAGCCTTTTCCAAAGTGAAAGTTTCTACTGAAACGTGCAGCAGAGTCAGAAGATAGAAACAAAACACGACTGTGCAAAAGAAGTAAATGGAAAAATGATTCCATATTACTTGGTGTAAAACATCACTGATGCATTGTGTTAAGCTGTTGCCAGCTCTTTAAAAGAAAGTTCAGACAGAGATGAACCAATAAATAACAGGACCACAGTATGGGAAGATTAAAAATACTTCAAGAGTATTTCCTTAAGAGTATTATTAAGAGTATTTCCTTATGTCCTCTCTCAGTTAAGAGGAGATGCAGACTACAAGGAATGGCACAAAAAGATAAGCAGTGGTCTCTCGTATCGTTTGGGGATGGATAGAGAAGTGAAAGTGCAACAAAAGAACAGTAAATATAAAATTTATAAAAAATTACTTGGTTTCATTGCTACTATATATTGAAGCCAAGAGCTTTGAAAGATTCAAAAAGGATTAGAGATTTATATGGAGAATGAGAATATCCACAATTACTTTAGATTAAAAGCTCCTGGAATATAAGCTGTCATGTTTCAGGACCTTAGACAACCCTTAGAACAAGAGGATTGGGGGGGGGGGAAAAAAAATCCCTATGAGCAAGATACTGTGTTTGTGCTCTCTGAGTTATTTGGCTGCTTCCTCTGGAACTTTTAGTACTGGGAACTCAACCTCCAGTACTATACTCATAGTTCTTATGCGGCTTCATGTAGGCAAAAGCATGTGAGCTAAGCATGTCTTCTTCCTGCCCAGATGTAATGTCTGTTCTGTCCCCTGAAGAAGGAGAGCTGACTAGACTGATGTGGTGGGTGCCCCAGGTGCCCACCCAAGCTGCTCTGTCACTGCCCTCCTTAGCTGGGCAAGGAGAGAAAATACAACAAAAAGCTCATGGGTCATGATAAGGACAGGGAGAGGTCAGTCACCAATTACTGTCACGGGCAAAACAGATTCAACTTGGGGAAGATTAATTTATTGCCAATCAAATCACAACTGAAATAAAATCTTAAAATGCATTCCCCCCACTCCTTCCTTTCTCCTGGGCTCAACTTCACTCCCCTTTTCTCTACTTCCTTCCCCCAAGTGGCACAGAGGTATGGGGAGTGGGGGTTGTGGTCAGTTCCAGCCTGGGTGACCCCTGGGGTCACAAGTCCTGCCAGCAAACCTGCTCCAGCCTAGGCTCCTCTCTCCATGGGGCCAAAGCTCCTGCCAGGACACTGCCACAGCTCCTGCCAGGACCCTGCTCGAGCATGGGCTGCCCACAGGGTCACAGCCTCCTTTGGACATCCCCCTGCTCTGGTGTGGGGTCCTCCCCAGGCTGCAGCCAGGTCTCTGCTCCACTGTGACCTCCATGGCTGCAGGGGTACAACCAGCTTCACCATGGACTGCCATGGAATCTCTACTCCAGCGCCTGGAGCAGCTCCTCCCCTCCCTTCTCACTGACCTTGATCTCAGCAGAGTTCTCTCCTATCTTGTGCTCTCTCTGCTGCAATTTCCTGCCTTGGGGGTTTTTTCCCCCTTCTCAAGCATGTTATTACAGACACACTATGACTGTTGCTGATGGGCTCAGCCTCAGCCACCAGCGGGTCCGTCTTGGAGCTGGCTGGCATTGGCTTTACTGGAACCAGGGCAGGCTGCCAGCAGCTTCTCACAGAAGCCACCATTGTAGCCCCCACTACCAAAACCTTGCCGCACAGACCCAATACAACTAACTAGATCTTTCACTGACTATTGAAACCTAGAAATGGTGGCATTTCTTTTATACATTCTTTATATGTTTTGTGTATTCTACGTATATTCTTTCCATTGCCTCATATTCCCTTACGAAACAGCATCTACTTGTATACTTACGAAACATCCTACTCCAGTTGTTAGTGCCCCTGGAGCAGACCAGACAGCCCTGTCAGTACCTCAGACAGTATGCTAGCGAAAACCCACTTGCATTTTGGGACAGAGCAGATAGTGAGCTGGAGTGGCTTGGCTATGGGCAAACATCGTGTTTTGCTGACTGCTAGAGGAGGTGACAGGCTGGACACACAGCAGTGATAGTTTCACAACCTGCCACAGAAGGATGGATCAGAGCTCACCTGCAGGAACCCAGAAGGTCTCAACAGATACAGATCCAAACTTTGAGCAGCCAGGTGTGAAAGTTCTGCAGTGTGTGTTGTTATCCTTGTAGTCTTAAACAAAGGACTAGAAAAATGTGATGTCAGAATGTATTACGTATGAGAGAGATTTATTATAAGAAGGCTGTTGAATCAAGTCCTGTCTTTGATTCAGGAAAGCTTACTAGCCATCGCCTCACCTTATGCTTTGTTTTATTTAGTTGCAGATCTGGGACACGGCTGGCCAGGAGAGGTTCCGAACTATCACACAGAGTTATTATCGCAGCGCCAATGGAGCAATCCTCGCCTATGATATCAGCAAGAGAGGCTCTTTCCTGTCCATCCCTCGCTGGATCGAGGATGTGAGAAAGTATGCCGGTTCCAACATAGTACAGTTACTGATTGGTGAGTTGGAAACACTGATACCAAGTGCTGCAGGTTACTGTACAACATAGTTGCAGTACTGCCCTAAGATGGTTAAAATGGGATTTTTGGTTGAAGTTAAGATGTATGTAATAGATCTGATTGGAAATTTTCCCAATTATTTTTTTAATTAGGAAGTGCTGATTTATCAAATCAGGAATGTTTTGCTTTGCTTAACTTCTGTTAAGAAGTAGCCAGCTTTGTATCAGAAACTGGCGTTTAATCCTTTGCGTCTCACTTAATGGAGAACTGGGTACCCACAATCTCCAGGTCCTTAGGCACCACTACTGTGGAGCTGTTCTCATGATAAGGATCATAAGGTTTCCAGGGCCCGGAGAAACTCCATCATACCGTGTTTTGGCAAACTGCAACACCCACATACTTCAGCAGATGGAGGATTTCCAAAGGACTTTGGGGCAATAAGGGTTTGTCAGTTCTCTGCTAGTAGTTCTGCTTCCCAGCCCCAATGTTTCCTACTCAGATGTGGCTCTTGAGGCCTGTAGACCTGGTAATACAATGTCAGTAGTCATCTAGATTTCTCTAGGAACCAGCTGACTGCTTTTGTTTTCACAAAATGATTTTAGCTTTCATTTCTAGCCCACTTCTTTTCTGCTCAGGTCCACAGCCACCACTCTTCAGTTCCTGACTTTTCCTGTTCTCAGTATGAGTCATCGATAAATACAGGTTGGAAGGGGCTTAGGAGATTATCCAGTCCAACCTCCTGCTCCAGGCAAGGCCAACGTCAGGCTGGTCAGGGCCTTTTCAGTTACTTTTTGAAAACCTCCAAGAATGGAAATTCTGCACCTCCTCCAGGCAACCTGAGAACCTCCTGCTCAATACTTACTCTGACGTAAACAGTTGTTATAAATTACTCTGTTGTTTCTTTTTGTTCCAGGAAACAAGTCTGACCTAAGTGACCTTCGAGAGGTTCAGCTGGAAGAAGCTCAGAGCCTGGCTGAACACTATGATAATATCATCTGTGCCATAGAGACCTCTGCGAAAGACTCCAGCAATGTGGAGGAGGCTTTTGTGAAGATGGCTACGGAGCTCATGATGAGGCATGGAGGCCCTGTGTTCAGTGAGAAGAACACTGACAGCATCAAGCTTGACAGCAAAGACATTGTAGAAGGCTGGGGGTGTGGTTGCTGATAAGAGCTAGGTGATATCCCTAACTTTACTGGAATTTAGATGGTGCTTCACCCTAATGCTGAGTAGCACGGTAGCCATATTCTCCTCCTCCTGTGAAACCAGCAATTTTGTAGAAGTTAGACACAATCCTGTTTGCTTTGGTGTCTTATTTTTAAAAAGGGACTCTTGAGAGGTAGTCCTCAAAGTCACACCCTCCGAAAACCTTCCTCAACATTTGTCCCCACCATTTTCTTTTCTGTAACCTTTGTACAAGTTACAAAAGGGGAGGAAACAACTTGGAACAGGTGATGCGGGGTGGGAAGACCGATGGCTGGGGAAAAGACTGACGCACACCCAAAGCTCTGAAGCGTTTAGCATGGGAGTGTTGGCAAAGGAGGTCGCTTTTGGAGCAGGCAGTCTTGGCAGTGTCTCTTTAACTCCTCCGTGCTCCACCAATGGCCAGAAAGCCACAGTGTCTTTGGTAAAGGTATCTGAAGGTCAGGATGCCCTGCTGTTGTGACTACAGGACCAAATAGCAGTCACCTGTCCTAGGGCTCAAGGGCTTGCTAGGCAGTACTGCAACAGGCCCAGGTGGGGAAGCCTTCTCTCAGGTGTTGTTACCATTTTTTTAACTTACCATTTTAACAAAAAGCAAAATCACATGACTTGCTGTGGAGCAGGATTGGACCAACGTTGTAATTTTAAATACAGTCTTGAGGAGAGGGTAAATGCATTTCATTTGTTATTGTTTGCACAGTGATAGCTCCCTTTTCCAAGTGGGTGTCATTGAGTTTTTGCCCTCAGGTCTCTTAATTTCATTCCGTAACTCAAGACCTGCACCACTGGAACCTGGAACTGGAGAAACTTTTGACTGGTAGCCATGGTCTCCTGCCGTGTGCCTAACAGTCGTACACAGGGTTAATTCTGGCCATACATTTGGTGTGTTACCAGACTGTTTCTTGCTTAAGTGGCGTAAGTGGATTTGGTTTTGGTTTTAACCATCTTTTTAAAAACAATCGGGGCATATAATGGGAAAGAAGACCTCAGAGTAGTTGAAAACTGCGTGCATTGCAACTTCTTGGTTGTAAGAAACCAGCATCTTTTTGACTGATGCCGTCTCCCAAGTTACAAAAATTGCTTTTTGTTTCTTGAGAACGCTCAGCAAGAAGAACCTTTCACTGTGGATCAAAAGTCTACATTGTTAAGTAAAATAGGCTTCATAACTCAAGTACACGTAGTTGTCTTTCAGACTCAGCTCTGTTGTGTGTTGTAGGGGCAGTTGATGTACTGGTGGCTGCAGTACACTCAGGCACCTCACCAAAATGGATTTGCAAAGGGAGCAGAAGCAGCGTTATTTTCAACTCTGCAGTTAGAGCAAAGGTGTTCAGAGGTGACAAGTGATTTTTTGTAATCCTGATTCTTTAAAGGAGCTGATTTTCAGAAAGCACTCGCTTAAAGTGAAATCACTTGTCCCTTTTGAAAATCTTGATCAAAAAGGACCTGGATTAGTTTGCTACTAGGGCTATGCCAGTTTTTAGCCATTCAACATATCCAGCATCATGGAAATCAGGAAGATTTAAGAAAGGGCTAATGGATCCTAATTTTAGCACTGTTCATCTTCCTACAGAAAATATTAACCCATTCTCTGGTCTCTCTCTTTTTTTAATCTAGGAGGTAGATAATTGAGGAGTTATGTATGCTTTGTAGCCTGTTTGCTTCTAATCTAAGGGGTTAGTTTTCAAGTTTTATAGTTGTAAGAGTGAAAAGGCCTTAATTTTTTCAATCAATATAGTTTCCGCAATTCTCATGTTTTATATGGAAGGGCAGGTTGAGCTGCAGTACTCAGTAGAATATTTTCATAGTTTTCCAGGACATTCCTAGCTCTCCTACATCCAAAAATAATAGGCAACAAGTGTCCAGCAGTAGCTAAGATACTGAAAATGAGAATTGTGGATTTGTTAGTGATTAGCAAACCCTGTATTCCACTTTCAGGAGAATCTATGAAGACAGTATAAGCTAAAACTCCGTCCTGATGACTCTTTTTTTCCTCCTGGTTAGATCCTCCTTAAGATACAGAATACTAGCAAGCATCTGACTTCATGTCATGACATAGTATAGTTTACATCTGGAGGTCACAGGCCTGCAGTTCTGCATGCTTGAACACGGACCTTCCGATAAACTCAGCCTCCCACTACTTGCAGGATCAGTGCCAAAATATTTAAGCCATGCTAATAAAAGTTCACGCTCATTTAAGAACAGTATTGCTACGACTCAGATGGAAATCAGTAGTTTACATAGTAAGTCATCTTAAAACTGGAGCAAGATGGAAAATGAACATAAATCCTGCTTCCAGTGCAGTCAGTGGGTGATTGTGTTTTTACAGTAGATGGAGAAATGAAGAATTAATGATCCATTTCCTCAGTTTTGAGGTTTGTTTAGTAAACTAATGGAATTAGACCAAGCACTATACTTTTCCTTACAATGTTCCCCCATATATCTCTTAAGCTAGTCTTGAAGGTTGAGACTGTCTGCAGGTTAGACTGTTTCAGTCGGAAAACATGAAATACACCATTAGTGATTTGTTCACTGTGTTTTCAAATGAAGGCACCAATTCATTACTTTTCATTTTACTGTAGAAAACTAAGATTATGGCTTTAACTCATTTGTCTTCTAACTCTTGGATCTTCTATGCTGTAACAAGTGCAATACAAGTTTGCATGCCCTGCCTAACTGAACAAAAGGGAACAGGTTAGTAGCAGATATGAATGACAGGGCTTGGGCTGTCAGTAGTAAGAAGGCTGTTTCGCTTACCAAACCCTTTCTTTGTCTGTTAGTAATAGCATAGTACTCACTGGGCTGATAGCTTCTTGACCATAAATAAATTAAACATAACTTAGGGCTTTTCAGTCCCTTTTTGAAGACTTCTGTTAAATCTGTCATTCACACACATAGCAATGAAATTCAAGTATTAGGATAACAGTCCTCTTATTTAATTCCATTAATCCTAATGAAAAGTATACCTGGGTGGAAAGTAAGTAGCAGTAAACATAAGATTTACGGGTAAAAACCTCAGTTTCCCATCTTGGGTTACAAATGTGCGCTGGTGTACATCAAGTGAATAATTCAGTAGTGCATGATCAGAGGTCACAGCACAAGCATTTGCCAGGAAACCTGTTTACTGGCAGCTGAACATCAACAAGACTGGTGCAGTAATTGCCTGTAAGCAGGTCTCCTTGGCTGACCATGTGTTTGCATTACTATTTATCATTTATTTTTGGCAGCACCCAGAGTGTGCAAAATATTGCAGAAACACAGAAGGGGACATTGATCCCTCTCCTGTTACATTTCAGAGTGGAATGCAGAGGCAGATACTGAAATGCAGTCATCAGCAGAATGGGGTTCCCAGGAGCGTGGGTATTGTTATCTTTTGTGTTGATTTTGTTTAAGCTAATTTTATCTCCAGTTACTCATCCAGTCCATCGTCAAGGATGGAACTTGTACAAATATTTATCATTACGTAAATGTAATACCAAATAAATGTCAGCCCAGAAACCTGCTAACATTTGCTTTGCAAAACAAAATTTAAAAAAATGAAAATACTTAAGAACAGAGGAATAGTCCTAATGACTTTATCTACTGTACTGGAAAGCAAGTCACTTGGGGGAGGTGTGGGGGAGAACTTAAAACTAAATGAAGTCCAGCTATATGGCATGGAGTTCCAAGAACTTCATGAAGAGTAGAGCTCTTGCTCAGTTTTTTCTTTGCCATTAAAGATTCTCATATTTATCTGAAGAATAGAGCTGATTGTCCCATGCAGTAAAGGTGCATTACTGCAGTAGTACATTACATTATGTATACACTCGCACAGCAGCACCCTTCAATAACATTAAAGCCTTTCCTTGTTTTGCCCCAGTGTCATCTCACTACGATCTGCGCCTCTGTTATTTAATCTCCTAGTCCCAGCCAGTTGACCACTGGAATGTCTTTTGCCATCTCATGCCAATCCCAAGAGAACTGGGAGGTAATACCATTATTAGTTTCTCTTCATGGGATTGTTTTACTCAATGTTATAAATAGAATCTCTTTAAATCAAGATTAATTTATATGTTATTTCATTAATAGAAATTGTTTATCTTTACCTATCCTGCTTCCAAAACATTTATATATTAACAGACCACTGAAGTCTACCCTATTGCATTATTTTGTGTAAACAGCGTGCTGGAGGAAAATGAAGTGAGAACAATACATGGTTTGTGAAACTGAAAAATAAAGTTACTCTCCTTTTGGTGTCTTCCAGCCTCGGAGAGTGCTCAGTTTAACCCCTGCCAGTCACCCTCCACGGAGACTTCACAGAAACAAACCAGGTTACGGGCAGTGTGCAGCCGGTAAAGAGGGCAAACAAAGCCAAGGAAATCAGAGCGAGTGGGTACTCTTCTGTGAAGAGGTAGTTCTCACACGACTGACTGATGTTGACCACATAGCTTGTGTTCCCACCCCTGTGGTACAGGAAGTGAGGCAATTAAAGAGCAGCAGGTCTGAGGACACATGCAGTTCACAGTGGAATTGAAAGAAAATGGATCCCAAAGTTTAGGCTAATCACCCTAACCACTTATTTGTCCTTTCTCAAACAATACCAGGTTTGTTTCGTTAACTAAAGCCATTCAACATCTACAAATGTGGTGATGAAAGATGCCACGTTGTTAACCCTTACAGATTAACAGTACGTTGTATTACAGTTGTATGAAGTGGAGTGACTTCCCAGTCACAGAGCAGAGTCCTTTACCACTGGGCTGTTCTCAGATTTGACACTTCTTTTCCATGCCATAAGAAAACATTTGTAGATTTGGAAAATACTGTCTCAATTCTATTTTTGTAGTATCTTTTGGTGCTGATCATCTTACTGAGATTTCAGTTAAAGAACCAGCCTCCTAGGTTTCTGAGTCTTTACTAGCCAGGTAATGTTAGATTCCTTTCAACTCAATCGATTTGGGTTATAGTTATCCTAAGCAGCAAAAGGTCTCAGATGGAAGCATTTAATTA